ATGTCTAACACCAATATTTAACCACTTTTCACTAATACTAGCCTAGAGATCTCTGTCTTCATTCTGTTTTCTCCTGGCGCAACTTGGTCATGGATCATTCCTATATTAACACTCATTTGAAGAGGAGGAACAAAGTGTCAACTTAACAGCTACAGTAAGCGAATTATCTTTCACAGCTGCCTGAACCTCAGCACATAGAAGCCAGCTAACTAGTGAACATATTCCCTGTATTGTGTTATTCAATTCCTGAAAATTCAGCTTGAACAGACAGTGTTATTTGGAAGCTATAGCCAAAGCCTGGATTCCGGTAGATCTTGAAGACACCTGCAGCAGAGCATAGAAACAACCATTATGTTTTTGGTAAGATATTTTCCAGTTTAAAAAACAGAATATATGATGTATCAATCAAAAGTGAACAAACTGGACATTTGCAACGCACTGTATAGAAGTAAGTCTTTCCCAGAATGTATTTAGATTTTTAACAATGTTTCATTGCTGCTGTTTTGCATCATCTTAGGCAATTGGGCAGATACTGACAGTGAAGAGAGATATTGCTATGTTGATAGGTGGAGAGGTTAAGTTTACCAGACTACCCTTCGCTGGTAATTAGATAATGGATGCAATAATAGTAAGTGTGAGCAACTTTGCCTTCTTGTCATGAGGTAAATGGTTTTCACCTTAGGTACTGACTGGAGAACCAAAAGCATTCAGAAACCTGAAGGTGCATGCCAACTAGTTCTCAAGCAGTCTTCATTGCCCATTATAAGTAGCATTTATTATAAAAAGCCTTCCATATTTCATAATGTGCAATAGCTGAGTACAATTGCTGGGTTAGTTATCAATCTCTCTTTCAAAATTAAGTTTTACCTATGTGTATTTCCAAATGTCATTGTTATTCAAATAAGGAAGAATTAATAAAAAACAAAGTCTTGCAAATGGTGCTTGGACAAGTGGGTGTACTTAAGTATGGAAAAAATAAACCTTGACCCCTATCTCATATTGTACACCAAAATTAACTCAAAATGGGTCATAGACCTAAAGGTAAAGGGAAAACTATAGAACTTCTAAAAGAAAACATAAAAAATAAACTTCACAACTTTTGTTTAGTAAAAATTTCAGATAGGACACTAAAATCATAAACCATAAGAAGAAAAAAAAAATCACAAATTGGACTTCATGAAAACTATAAACATCTGCTCTTTCATTAATAAAGTGAAAAGGCTTCAGACTGGGAGGAAATATTCTCATATTCTCAATGCATATATCTGGCAAAGGTGTTTCTGGGATTTCTACAGAACTCCTATGCTACAATAATAATAAGGGGGAGAAAAGATATGAATGGGCAAAAGATCTATACAGACACTTTACAAAGGAAGATATACATGACAAATAAGCACATGAAAAGATACTCACATCAGTATTCATCAGGAGAGTACAAATTAAAACCACAAGAGACACTACGCCCCTACCAAAGTGGCTAGGATGTGCAAAAACTGGAACTCTCATACATTTCTAGTGATTGTCAGGGCACATAACATGTATTTCTCTGTACTTAGTGAAGCCACCAAGAGATGAATGATGCGTAATGGGTGGTGGGGGCCTTCCCAACCCCAGAGCTCTGCTTGAAACACCCATGTGCTTCAGGGACCAAGGAGAAATCACTCTCATAGAAAGTCTTTAGGGCTGTGGTAACAAATGAGGGAGTTATACAGAAGACATTCATTGTAAGAAAAATACCTCCTTTCTGAGCCCAGAAAGCAAGTCCAGAATGATCATTTATCAAAAACAGCTTTGTCTGAATTTTGACTTGATGTTGAATATAAAAGCATTGTCAGCCAAAGATTAAGAACAGTTGCAATAATTTGCCATGTAATAATTAGACTGATCTAAGAGAATTGGCTAATGAAGCTCAGAAACACATATCTGAAAATCAGTAAAATCGCTGTGAATTGTTGCATGCTCAGATTCACTCATTCAATAAATATTTGAGTGCCTACCATGTTCCATAAATTATTTTAAATGTAAAATATTCTTAATAATATGTCTCTTTGTTTCTTGAAAACACATGCTGTTTCACATGTATGTTGGTTATAGGTCAGTGTATTCATCCACATAGAGACTTAAATCTCAGCATTTGTATTAGAGCTAAACTTACCAAATGGTCCCATTCCCTGGAAGAATGGAAGAATGTGGAGTATGCGTAAAACAAATGTACTTCAAAGGGCCTGGTTTTCCAAAGCCTTGCCGTTTCGAATATTGACCTTGCAAAGGACAGGAAAATTTCCCCAGGCTATATAGTCTCTGTCATAAGATAAAAAACTATAACACGGCAAGGTTGCTGGCTCAAAGACAGACAGGTTACTGATTGATATGTTATGATACTGGGAAATTGCTGTAAGAAGAAAATGTTTGCCAAAATCAAGCTTTTGTTGCCAATTTTATTATAGAATGTTACCAGCTTCTATTCTAACTATGTAATAAGAGTTATGTTTTGAGCCAATAAACATTTAAAGAGGCTCTTTATATTCAAAAGTGTGCCTGTGTGGAGGTCAAAGGTCAAATATGCCCTTCCAGTGTCTTGTTTCCTAAAAAGTTGCCAAGAAGATTCTTTCTTTTGACTTTACTACCATCTACTGTTCAAAGGAGTAATCGTAATAACTTCGTATAGCATACATTATACGAAGTTATACGATTATAGAATGTTACCAGCTTCTATTGTAAAACTTGTTAAACTGTACTTAGCAAAAACCCCACCTATGCTCTCTTCCTGTAACTTCCTGGTCTGGAGAATAAATGTGTGAAGAGAACCCCAATTCGTGGTTAATTTTCCAAATGGAAGGAATGCCTCTGTCTTGAGGGTTCCGGGAGATTAACCCCTTTTGGGGGCTTCTCACTGCTCAGAAGAGATGGTCTTTGAGTAATTTTTGGCAGCTCTGTCACTCAGGGGAAAAGGGGTGACAAATCCATGGGAGGCAAAGCAACAGAAGAATGGCCAAAGACATGAAATATTGTGGGCTTTGAAACTGGAGGAAGGGGCCATGAGCCAAGGACTGTGCATGTCCTCTAAAAGCTGGAAAAGTCAAGAAAATAGATTCACTCCCAAGATCTTTCAGAAAGGAATGTAGTCCTGCTGACACCTTAATTTTAGTCCAGTGAAACCTGTGTTGAACTTCTAACTCACAGAACTGCAAGATAAGTTTGTGCTATTTTTAAGCCACCAAACTTGTGGTAATTTGTTATAGGAGCAATAGAAAACTGATACAGTAGTCAAAATATGTTCATTTGCAGCCTTTTAATTAGATTATATGAACAAGGCTCTGATGTTGCTTTTAGTCTACTCACTCTTGATGCCCCTGAACCCCCCTCCCCTGCACCAATGCCAGATTGAAGGGTTCCTCAAAATGATTTCCATTTGCGGTCTTCTTGCAGGTTTTTTGTTTGTTTGTTTGTTTTTAACTGTGGCTTTCACATCTCTGGTTTAAACATCATCCCTTTTACATTTCTATTCTTTTGTTAGTGAGTATTTTAGAGAGATAGGCAGGGAGCAGGTATCATGGTTCATATCTGGAATCAGAAGCATTATTCATGGACACTAAAAGTCTCAAACTGCTTTCTGACTTTAAATAAAGGGCCTTGTTGGACTGAGGGAAAGCATCTTATTTCTCTATTCTCAATTTTCCGAAACCGATCTCCTGGTATAATGGTTACTCTTTTAGCCACAGGGTTTCGGTCACAATCAACACTACTCTCATTTTACCAGGCCTGACTCTCACTCACATAAAACTCCTGATTGCCTGTCCATGTTAGATTTCATGTTCAAACTGCTCCCATGTCTTTCATTGCTCTCAGAAGTTTCTCTTGGCTCTTGTTGGCTGGTGGTACTCTTTTTAGGGTTCTGGAGTCAGTGCAAAATTATTTTTACTCTGTCTTTAATCCCTTCAAAAATTTTTTATGTTTTATTTTGCAGTGCCTCCATCTGAGTCTGTTCAGTTTCATCAGTAGATGGTCAAGTGTTCCGTGGATGGTGTGGTACCAAGAATTGGGTGTAATACTCTATCAAGTTCTGAGCAGATGACAATGGGATTTTACTTCCTTATCTGAATATTATTATTATTGTTATTGATTCAAAGCCACTGAATCTTCATAATTCTGCTTGAAGTAGACAGAGATAACCTTCTTCATTTTCCTAGGTGAAGGCCCATGTTCTAGGCTGATATTTTGTATGCCTGATTTTATTTTTTAATTTCACCAGCCAAGGAAATTATCTCCACATTGTCCTCTTGATCCAATGCTCATTGCCAGCAAGGCCATCCAAAGCTCAACCTGATTGTTTCTGCTTAAAGAATGACTCATCATGGGCACAAAGGGTGACAATCAGCTTTGTATGTCATGACTATTCATAACCAATAAAAAAAAAGAATGACTCAGCTGCTTTTACACAAAGGCTCTAATGGACTCCAAAGTTTGATAGATTTATTGTGTGATCAGTTTCTCTATAAAGTAGATTACTTCTTTATTTTACAGTCCCCATTTTTCATTGAGGCTAGATTTAACGTAATCTACAGAGGGTGACACAGCACAGAATAGGGAATAAAGAAACATGTTCAGTGGAAGTGTTTAACATGTCTCTAAACAGAAGAAAAGCACCAGTAAGCTTTCTGTGGAGAGTCTGGATCCTCAGTCCTGCATCTGGCCTCCAGAGGTCGATGTTGCACAAGCTCGAGCTTCCTGTTTCCTCTCAGATCAGCACCTTCCCCTCAGCCCCTCCTTCCTGCAGCTATGACTGAAGCTGTCTCACTGAGCTGTTTGAAGACAGCACAAGTGGAGGAGCAGAGTCAGAAAGCACCCAGGAGCACCTCAGAAGTTTTTGTATTTTTGCCTAAACTAGGGACTTGTCTAGCCCAACCTTACTCACACCATCTATTCCCAGGAGCTGACTTCCAAAGCCACTTTCCTGCTTGCAATTTCCAGGACTCCCGCAGCATCTCCCCTGCTCAGCCATGCTCCTGTTGCTCATCCCAGGACTGGGTGTGATATTTGCCCTGAGTAAGTAACATTCTATTATGGCTCCTCATTCCACAGCAGTAACTTTTCTGATTCAGATCTTAGTATAAATACTTTTCATAGTGAAATCTGCATTGCTTTCACTGATATAACATTGATTTTTCAGGAGATGCTGCAGCCCAGTCAGTGACCCAGCCTGATGTCCACATCACAATCTCTGAAGAAGCCTCTCTAGAGTTGAGATGTAATTATTCCTATAGTGGAACTCCTTATCTCTTCTGGTATGTCCACAACCCCCACGAAGGCCTCCAAGTTCTCCTTAGATACTTTTCAGGGGACACCCTGGTTAAAGGCATCAAAGGCTTTGAGGCTGAATTTAGAAAGAGTGACTCTTCCTTCCACCTGAGGAAACGCCGTGTGCATTTGAGTGATGCGGCTGAGTACTTCTGTGCGCTGAGTGACACAGTGCCTGGGAGTGCAGGGGGAGCTGAACACAAACTTGGTGAGATGCTAAGGAGGGTAACTGCTTGTGAAAGAGTTTGGATTCTGATGTAGTAGAAGCCAGGGTGTTCTCATCCCACCGTATGGAGGTGCTCAGGGACTTGCTGGACCAGTGTAGGGCTGATGCAATTTAAGTGGTTGTAGTTGAGATATGTGACAAGGCACGGGAGAGTTTTGCTTTTCATTCATCATTTTATCTTTCAGTAATCAAAAACAAAAGGTGAACTTCCTTTTGCACATTTCCTTCTTGCATACCTTATTGCCTTCCCAGCTTGGTAATGTTAAGATAGTTTTCCTGGAATCTTTTTCCTGGCCAGAATTTTGTGCTGGTTATTTCTGCTCACTTTTAGGTGCCCCCATTTAGGAGGGAGGAGATTGATTGTAATCTCCCAAATGGCTTACAGCATGGTGTGCTCATGTAGATTTTAATAACTTATTAGGAATACTGCAGAAAGAAGAGTAAATAACTAAAAGTATTTAGCATTTTAAAAGGATTATTAAGGAGAGAGGAGATGCTAAATTTAGATGCCAAATTCCATTTATTTTATTGTAAAGCTTATTTTATTTTTCCCAATTATAAAAATTGTTCTTTTCTTTTGATATCTTAAATTTTAGAAATCCACATCACAAATCTATGACATTGGTGGGATAGTAACTTTTGCCAAATGCTGTTATTATTTTCTTTTTTACTCTCATTCTATTTTCATATGATTTCACAGTAAGAATATTAGAAATTGATCCTCATCTGTTTAACATTTCTATAATTAATGATGTGCAAAGTTTACCAATGTCTGGCCCCTGAAGATATACTGGTTAACTATTGCAATAGGAATTAAAAGGTCAAAGGGTGTGTGATAGATGTACGACTTCTCCTTGGCTAGGATGAAAAAGACTTTATAAGAAGACTTTATATCCTTAAGTATCTGCAGCTTTGGAGGTTAATGATGACTTTGAAGGAAAGTAAAGAGAAGGCGGAGGAGGAAGGTTGGGCTTTTTTGTTGCATATTTCTTGATGCTGTCATGAATAAGAGATGAAGGTTAAAAGAATTCAAAGATATAGAGAATAACAGTGAATTGTGTCCAGTGATTTACCTTGGCCAATAGAGATCAGCATTATTTTCAAGTCATATTGATGTGACTATACGTGAGAATTCAAAGATATAGAGAATAACAGTGAATTGTGTCCAGTGATTTACCTTGGCCAATAGAGATCAGCATTATTTTCAAGTCATATTGATGTGACTATTTGTGGTATATGCATCTGAAGGATTTCTGGAAATGGGATAAGACATATAAAATTATTCATAAGCAATTTATGCTTATTTAATCTTTGTTCTTCAGGTTACATTCTCTACTTTCTCTGAGAAGTTGATTATCGTTAGGAGATTTAAGTTCACTGACTCAGCTCTGTGGCCCAAAATGGCCACAAGTGGGCACTTCATAAGTATGTATGAGAAGGAGAAATGACTATTTCTTTCATTTCCAAACCGAAGCTTAGTACTAAGGAAATATAACTCGTGACACTAAGGATTTCAAGCACATAGGAAAGCATGTTGCATTTTCATACCAGCAACCTTGCCTGAGAAATTAAAGTGGTTTTATTTATATAATTGCTCTATAGTTGTGAGAAACTTTACATAATACATAAACATATTAAGGAGAAAGTAGAAATCCCCAATTATTTTAGTACAATTATATTTGCCATAGGAGCAAATTATAACATCTTTTTAAAATGGTATTATATTATCCACATCTATTTATGTTTAATTTTTTTAAATAAATAAAACATTACAATAAAATTGCCATGTCTTTTATTTTTCTTATCAGTTTCATTCCCTTCCACCCTTTCCAAGACAAACTTATTATGAACTTTGTTTCTCAAGTCTATGTTTTTATATTTCTAATACATATATGTTTATAAACAATGTATGGTGCTATATTTTGTGTTTTTAAAATTTACATGGGTGCTATCCCATTGCATGTGTAATTGTGAAATGTTTTTTTCAATAAAAATATTTTTGAGATATAGAACAATTATACATCTGGATATATTTTATTACTTTTAACTGCTCTTTAATATCTCATTTTATGAATATACCATATGTCTCTTTCTGATGGACGTTTGGATGGTACAGTGCCATCAGAGATGGTCTTGGACTCAAGTAGACAATCACATTTGCAAAGATTAATAGGCCACACAGGTGTTGGCTTCCCTCACACCAGGAGTGATGTCAAGGGGAGTCCCCTCAGCTGTCCACACAGTTCATGGACTTTTCTTTTTGCAATTTCTCCTCCCCTCTTCCCATGTTAAGTGCTCAGGTGTGAGGAAACAAAACCAAATAAGCCATGCAGACTTAGAAGTTGCATGTCCTCCAAAGGAATTGATATCTCCTATAATAGTTACAAATATCACTATCCCAAAGCTATGGCATTCTACCAAGCATTCACAGTTCTTTTACAGTCCAGATTCAATTTCTCACTCGAGGATCATTTTTGCCAAAGCAATATTATCTAGCAATACAGCTGACATTGCACTTTTATCAGGTTCCTAGAGAAGCAGGGGTAGAAAATTAGCCCAATTCTTTCATGTAAGCACTTTTATCAGGTTCCTAGAGGAGCAGGAGTAGAAAATTAGCCCAATTCTTTCATGTAGAAGGAGAAAGGTTTTTGTTAATCCTTTAGTCAAGGGGTGTTTTTAATTTTTTACTATTATAAACATTCTTCAAGGCATATAATTGCCAATGTTTCCTTACGTGTAGGTGCAGAATGTGCTACATTAGTAGGGCTTGACATTATAAAAGGTGTTCTTTTCTCTCCACATTTGTTCTGTGAACATTCAGCATTTTTGTTACAAGGGAATGGGCAAGAAGAGTGAGCGTAAGCAGTGTTTGTTTTTGCTACTGTGGCTTTGTAACTGACACTCAGGTACCGACACTCCTTTGCTAGAAACAAAGGACCTGAAAGTCTGAGGTTGGTGCAAAGTTTGGAAGTTTTATTATCAAGAAGTGCAACCAGTGAGACAGTTTTGGCTGCAAAGTGTCTCAGAGTCTCAAGAGCCTCAGCAAGAGTTTTTAAAGAGAAAAGTGTGGGAAACAAAAGAGGGATAAGTCCCATCAGAAAGTTGATATGTGCAATTTTGCAGGTTCTGGTCTTTCTTTATGTGAGGGCTGGTTCTGTAACTCTTTCATCTGGTTCTGTAATTCTTTCATTCATCCTTAGAATGTGGGTGTTATCTGGCTCCCACAGCTGGATGCCATCTTGTTCCTGGGCTGCTGTGACTACAAAAGAATAGTTATTTCACCCAGTTCCTGATTAACTCTCATTGTCTTGCTCCTCCTGAGCACCAAGTCCCACAACGTTTTCCCATGAGCTATGCTATGAGCCAAGGTTACAAAAAGACTTCTTCATGACTAGCATTCTGTTTAATGCTGCATTTTACGAAATGGCTCTTCTAAGGCCAATTGTCCATGACTATTTGCTGTGGTAGGCTTTTACAAATCCCCCCCTGTTAATAGTTCCATCCGTATCTATGCATATGGGGGCTGACTCTTTGAGCTACTTCAAACTGGGTCAAGGTGAAGAAAGGGTTAATTTAGAATGGAGCTCATTGACATGATGGAGAACATAGCTTTTGGTACCTCAGCAGGAGTGGCAGAGGGATCAAGGTCATTTGTTTATCTATGGTTTCACTAGTTGATTGACGATAGGTGGTAATACATGTAATACAACGTTTAGGCCTAAGGGAGAGAACAAAGATGCTGATGATTACAAAAACAACTATTTTGAATGTAGATCAAAATAGATTTCTTAACCCCACAGGTAGCCAGCTAAATAGATCACTGAGAGGGTCAGTGGGCTACACCTCTCATAACCACTTTTCATGGGTGAATATTTTATTTACTTGGGTCTCAACTTCTACCAAGGTATTAATGGAGACACAACAGGAGGTGTATGCTAAGGCACAAACCTTTCTCTGTTCTGTCAGCAGAAAATCTAAAGCCATGCAGTTATATAAGATTACTTGGTGGCTTACTCAGAATTAGTAAACTGTATATTAATTGATACATCAACAAGTTTGAGCACTTACATGAATCCTTTGTTTAAGACCCAATGTCTCATCCAAGTCCTGCCCTCCCCCCGCCCCCCATCCCAAGGCTGTGGATATTTTAGAGAAGTGCTTGTATAACCAAGTCAACTTCAAGACACTATTTTCCCCTTTTTTTGATCAAAATATTCCTCATGGAAGCATCTGTTATCAATTTTCTGATTGAAGAGATCTGTAGGTGCTGGGAAGGTTTATTCTCAGGTAGACTGATTCCTGATTCCTCAGTGCTGGGGAGGCTTATTCCCAGATAGGCATGTCCCACATTGGTGGGAGATGGGGGTGCGAGGAGAAGAAACAGCAGTTAGGCCAAATTAGGGCAACATGAAGTGGGGTCAGGAACTTAGAGAAGACATGTTATTTTATAACCAGTTAAATAATTTAAATGACCATTATTCTGTCAAGTGAAAAAGACAGACATTAGAGAGGTAAGAGTCTCATTATGGCATTGGGCAGTTTGGTGAATCTTTTGTGTGGCCCGTGTGTGAGACATGAGATCTGTTCCCCCAAATTCATCTAGTTTCAGCCCATAAGATTTCAGGAATAGAGCAATTTCCAATTTTAGTAATTCTGTGGAAGAAAGGTGCATTGGAGGAACCTAGAAGAATTCAGGATCCAGTCAAATCTGCAGGTAGATAAGAAAAAGTCAAATACAATGCACAGAGCTACAATCCAACAACAGGTATGTTACAACTTTTCTTAGAAATACAATTTCTCCATTGATCACAAAGAAATCCCAGATTTAAACCCTTTTGAGGCTAGGAAGGAAAATCAAGGCAGACATTGGATTTTATCTTCAGTCTTAAAGTTCTTGAGTTTGCCAGGCAGTGACAGCTTTTATTCACTCACCGTAAGGCTGAGAACACTTGAAGTTAGGCATTTTATGCACATTCTCAAACATGATATTTCAGTCAAGGCCTTAGCAATATAATCAATATTTTCAATTATATCCTATTATAAAGAGAGCAAATTCATCTTAAACTTATGTAAAAATAATAAGGATACTCACAAACAGTTTTCAAATTTTGGAGGAATCGAAAAAACAAATACGTCCATTTTTGTTTATAAAAGTATATTTTACCAACTTGCTGTAAGTTATAGATATCTCAAGAGAGAAGTTTTCCTTAAATCTGAAAAATAAAACATTTCAAATAAAGAACCAACAATGTTTTAAGTAAAAGTCATAAAAGCATATCTTTATCGGTTATTTAACTTTATGTAATTAACTTTTGCTTTACTTGATTTTGATTAGTAGTTTTATAAATCCAACAGATCTATTATTAGAGTTCTGAAAACATTTATTTTTGTCCATTGATCTGAAAATTATTGGCAACCTGTTTTTAAGAGTACTTGTTATAGTCTTTCCATTATTCTGATTGCAGACATCTTTAGAGAAAAATCAAAACTGTGGATGACAGAGACTTAGAACTATCATGGTGAAAATCTGATGAGAACTTGTTATAATCAACAGTTGACCAGGAAACTTGATTATTTTTATTACATACAGCACCTTAAGTTAGCAACCAGAATCTGACTGATAATGTCACATCAAGACCATGAGAACCAAAATATGACTGATAACATATCAGATTTTAAGAATTTTATATAATTTCATAATATTTGCTTCAACAACATAGCCATAAATATAACTGAAAGAGTCTAATAATTGTCATTTGACAATCCTTTTTATATAATTTACTAAGCAAAGCTTAATCATTTAATATCTCTACAAGATGATCAATATATTCCCCAAGGTTCTCCAGGGGCCCGGCTGGAAAACCCTAAAGGCTCAATCTGTCAAAACAGGATCACAGGTCACTGTGAAACAATAGCCATTTATTAAACTAAAGTGATAATCAGAAACTTCAATAGCAACTCAGAT